CTTCTGTTAAACTGTTTTTAAAACCATCCACTTGTTGTCTCTTAATTATAGTTATTACTGTTTTATTATTTTTACTTTATTTAATCTTGTATCTACCAAATCTCCAATGATTATTATCTCACCTTCTTCTAAACAGGAAGGATCACATATATAACGCAGCGAGCAATTGTTTGCCATCAGACTGAACTTACTGTTCCTGAGGAACGTTGTCAAGACAGTAGTGAACGTTTGACCAGACAGTTCATTCACTAACTTTTCTTCTCATTTTCATTCTTTATAAAATAGTATAAGACAATATTTAGAGTTCTATCCTCGTGGGAACGATAATCTGGGCCTTAAATACACCCATTATTACTTGATGTGTGCACTTGCGCACTTGGGTTGGAAGTAAGGAAACGAATCTGTGTTCTATCACCAATATAGAACAAATGAACGTCCCCCCTCAGAACTTATATTTTTCCACCATCAGCAAACCACCCAACAATTATTTCCTCAGTTGTTAGTTTCAGTTTCAATTTCTAGTTTTCACTGTTCAGTTTGTAAGTTGGCCAAGAGTCATCGAGTTTCTTACTTTCCAAGTTTTAATAAAAGTGCCACCTCTTTTCAAGTTATTCACTCGGATGTTTGGGGACCTGCCAAAGTCCCCTCTCTTTCTAAATCTTATTATTATGTTACATTCATTGATGAATGTACTCGAATGATGTGGATTTCTCTCTTGAAACACAAAAGTGATGTTTTTTCTGCCTTCAAATTTTTTTCACAAATGGTCCACACACAATTTCAGTCCTCTATACAAGTTTTACAATCGGATAATGGAATGGAATATCTAGGGTCTGAATTTGTTAATTTTCTTAATTCCCATGGTATCAAGCACCAAACTTCTTGTGCTTATACCCCTCAGCAAAATGGCCTTGCTGAGAGAAAAAATAGACTTATATTAGAAGTTGTTTGTGCATCTTTATTTGGAATGAATGTTCCTAGATTTTTTGGGGAGAGGCAGTTATCTCAGCTGCTTACTTAATCAATCGTACACCATCTAGTGCACTTAATTTTCAAACTCCTCTTCAAAAACTTGAATCTTTTTTCTCTCTTCCTCATTTCTCTAATCTTGAGCCTCGTATATTTGGTTATACGGTATTTGTTCATGTTCCTAAAAGTCTGAGAAATAAACTTGATCCATGTGCTTCTGAATGCATTTTTGTTGGTTACTCTAATTTACAAAACGGTTATCGTTGCTATGATCCTGTTCTCCGCAAGTTGCATGTATCTCTTAATGTTTCTTTTCAGGAAACTGAACTTTTTTTCTCAGGGGGAGCAACCACTACTTCTTCTTAGGGGGAGTTGAGTCATAGTCATAACTATGGAGAAGAAGTATTGATGGATATCTCAACACAAAGCAATTTTCAGAATACTACTGCACTAGATACAATTATCAGCAGTATTGAGACTGTCACACCAGACTTAACACCTACACCAGATCCTACTGAGGTGGCTGTCCTTGATTTACCATCATATGTTCATAATGAGGAGGTAAATCTGAATCTGTCTTCTTGTACTCCAAGTAACAATACCTCACCTATACATGAACCACAAATCAGAAAATCCCAACGAATTACTAAAGGCATTCCTCCAAAATTATATGAACCTGACCCATCTGCTAAAATTAAATACCCAATTGGAAATTATGTTTCAACAGAGAAACTTTCTAAATCATATGCTTTAGCTACTAATCAGTTATCTAGTGTAGTTATTCCAACAAATGTGAAGGACGCTCTTGCAGATCCGAGATGGAAAGAGGACATGAATGTAGAAATGGAGGCTCTTCAAAGGAACTCAACTTGGGAATTAGTTACACTACCACAAGGGGAGCAAACAATAGGACACAAATGGATATTTACACTAAAACTAAAGGTTGATGGAAGTCTGGACAGATACAAGGCTAGGCTTGTAGCTAAGGGATACACACAAAGATATGGCATTGATTATCAAGAGACTTTTGCCCCAGTTGCAAAGCTTAATACAGTCAGAATTATAATCTCAATTGCAGCCAACAGAAATTGGAGCCTAAAGCAATATGACGTGAAGAATGCCTTCCTTAATGGTGATTTAGAGGAAAAGGTATATATGGAGATACCACCTGGAGTTGAACAACGACAAGGGAACCAAGTATGCAAATTAAAAAAGGCTCTATATGGATTGAAACAATCTCCAAGGGCATGGTTTGGTAGATTCTCCTTGGCTATGAAAAAATTTGGTTATAAGCAAAGTAACTCTAATCATACTTTGTTTATAAAACATAAAGGAGGAAAAGTAACCATTTTAATAGTCTATGTGGATGATATGGTTGTAACAGGTGATGATGAATGTGAATTGAAAGCATTGGAGCAGCATCTATCCACTGAATTTGACATGAAGAACCTGGGGGAGATGAAATACTTCCTTGGCATTGAAGTTGCCAAATCTGACCGAGGAATCTGTTTGTCACAAAGGAAGTATGTTCTTGATTTACTTGCTGAAACTGGGATGTTAGCATGTAAGCCCGTAGAGACTCCAATTGAGATGAATCATACTTTGGGCATTTATCCAGATCAGATCCTACTGATATTGGTAAATACCAAAGGTTAGTTGGCAAATTAATTTATTTAGCTCATACAAGGCCTGATATTTCCTATGCAGTAAGTGTGGTTAGCAGGTTTATGCACTCTCCAATTGAGGATCACATGAAGGCATCGCAAAGGATTCTTACATATTTAAGAGGCACACCTGGTAATGGTCTCTTATTCTCCAGAAACAAGAAACCATCAGTTGAGGGATACACAAATTCAGATTGGGATGGAGACAAGACTACACGACAGTCAACCTCAGAGTATTTCACATTTGTAGAAGGAAAGTTAGTGACTTGGAAAAGTAAAAAACAGAAGGTAGTTGCTTGATCAAGTGCAGAAGCAGAATTTAGAGGTATGTCTCATGGTATTTGTGAATTACTTTGGATTAAGAGTGTTCTGAAAGACATTGGAATCGAATATTGTGAGCCTATGAAACTGTACTGTGATAATAAAGCTGCTGTGCAAATTGCTCATAATCCGGTCCAACATGATAGAACTAAACATGTGGAAGTAAATCGACTCTTTATTAAAGAAAAACTTGATCACAAGATTATTCAACTGCCATTTGTAAAGTCAGAAGATCAAATTGCTGATGTTTTAACAAAGGCTGTTTATGGCAAGTCATTTGAGAAGGCAATAAACAAGTTGGGCATGATAAATATACATGCACCAACTTGAGGGGAGTGTTAAAAATAGAAGTTTTAATTTTAAACTTATTTGAAAAGTCGTTGTTTACTAGTATTTGTAGATAGCTCCTGTAAATTGGAGTTAGTTTTGATTTAAACAATCTGTATAATTTGTAAGGATTTTTTGTATCTTTGATCTGATCTTTGATCATCTTCTCTGTATTTAAACACCAATGCTATGGTGCAGAAATATAATGAAAGCAAATACATATTTTTGACAGAAACTATGTGTAGGTCACAAGGAGCGGCCTAAAGTGGCGTATAGCAGCTAGAGTTTGCACCTTTTTTCCGTACTCTTTTTACCTTACAATTTTATTACTTCGTTTTAGTGCAATCATGCTTACTCTATCCTTCGTCGTGTTGAAAAACTTTGAGAGAAGTGGGATCTTCATTATCCATTCAACATATAGAACAAACAGCTTCAACAAAATTTTCAAGAGCCAAATTATCTATAAAAAATTAGTAAACTAGTTTTCAAAACTAAGGCTCTGTTTGATTTTTGTTTTGCAAAACAGTTTAGTTTTTAGAACAAAAAAACAAAAAAGCTCATTTGGTAAGACCTGTTTTGTAAAAAATGTTTTGAAAATTATAACTGTTTTTTTTGTTTTTAAAATCAAATTTAAAGAACATGTCTGAGTTGTTTTTGTTTTCTGTTTTTGATTTTTAACTTTCAAAAAGAAAAACATATAGAAAATAACTGTTTCCATAACTATTTTACAAAAACAGTTTTAAGAACAAAAAAACCAGAACACAATCAAACAGACCCTAATTCATCCCTTTTAAAGGATGAAGTTATTTTATATTAAGATTATACTACAACTCTAAATTTAGAGAAAGATTTCACGACTGTAGTGAACTTCAATTTTACGTGAAAAATATGACGGTTTTAAATGGAAAAAGATATATCCATATTAACTCAAGTCAAAATGCAAAAGATACGCCAGCATTTTTCCATCTTGATATATCCATATTAACTCAAGTCAAAATGCAAAAGATACGCCAGCATTTTTCCATCTTTTGTTTATATATATATATATATATATATATATATAAATTCGTTCCCTCAAACTCCAATGTCAAGCGGGTCCAGGGGAAGCCCGTGGCGGGGAACCACCACCAATGAGTTAAGGCTACACCAACCGTAGCAAGTGGATCCGACACCATGTCTCAACCCAAAACCTTAAGGCATTGGGTTCATGGGTCCTTTCACTTATATACTCTTCACTTAACTCATTACCAACCAATGTGAGACTCATCACACTTGAATATCTCAACAATCTCCCTCTCAAGTGTGAAACCCACCATTGGTATGCTCCCCCTCAACCGAGTACCCGAAGCGCAAAGTACTCGACCCGCCTCCTAGCCAATCACTAGGCTAGCTCGAGCTCAACCAGGCTCTGATACCACTGTTGGAAAATTCGTTCCCTCAAACTCCAATGTCAAGCGGGTCCAGGGGAAGCCCGTGGCGGGAAACCACCACCAATGAGTTAAGGCTACACCAACCGTAGCAAGTGGATCCGACACCATGTCTCAACCCAAAACCTTAAGGCATTGGGTTATATATATATATATATATATATATATATATATATATATATATATATATATATTAGTTGGGTGCATTCATTCAGTGTTTACTAGTCTAAACTTATGTTGCTAGAGTTGAATAGCATTTTGTAGGTCAACTGACCATAAAAGAGAGCACATCATAATAGTCCATGAAGAAATTAGTCATTGAAGGAAGCAAAACAGGTCTTCTGCGACAATTGTTCGATTCACGAAATGATATAAAAACAAGTTGAAGAGGTTTATGAAATATAAAATACAGAGTGAGATTTCATGCAAGATCTCAATGCTCTTCTGGAGCAGAATCAGACACCTATTCATGGTCTTTTGCTTCCCCTCCATTGGTTGTAGATGTTACTTGTGATTTTGCCATCTCCATAACTTCTCCAGGTGGAGGGTGGTCAAACTTGCAGGTGGCACCGAATTTGCAAGTGCCAGTTTTCAAATAATATGGACAGATCACAGAACCCTGTTAAGACATCATAATAAAAGTTTCAATGTGGCAACAGTTTTATGCACCACTTAAACTTGAATAGGAAATTCATTCATATCACACGTTCATTTGATAGTAATTGTGAGGATAGTTAAGTGGATGCTACTTAAAACTGAAGTCTATGGCTACAAAGACAAAATGCACAAGAGCCACTTGCTTGGACACATGTTTATTAGAATACTCTACTCATGCAGTTTAATGATCTTCATCTACTGAGATTGACTTGATAAACATCCACTACAAACAATATCTGCATTCCAAGTAACTTCCAGTAGACTGAAACAACCTCCAAACTTGCACTTTTTTTGAGAATCGCAATCAAATTATTATATTGAAAGGATTTTACAGAAAAATGAAAATAAAAAAAGGATTTGTATCATGTATGCATATTAAAAAGATCAAACATACCTCTCTCCTAGGCAATCCTGCAGGAGTGAGTTTAACAGTTTGTTGTGAGGCCTGTTTTGACAGTGATGGTGCTGAGCGGTCAATTGGGTGATGGAACTTGCATCTTTCCTCAAATTTACACACGCCAGTTTTCATATAGTACTACATGGTAAATCATTAAATAGAAATATAAAAAGAAATTAGATGTTTTAGGCAGAGGTTACGGCTTAGCATTAAAAGTTAAAAAAAAAAATATAAAAGCTTGGAGGAAGTTTCAACAGTCTTGTTCTATAAGAATCAAATGTTTTCAAAACCAGACCAGTCCTCGAATTGAAAAGGGTAGAAGTTCAAGGTTTTGATGTCATACCGGTGTTGGAAGGGGTTTCTTCCAAACTTCCATATTTTTAAATATATATTATGTAAAAAATATAACATACATAAATTATCTATAAAAGTAAAATCTTGAAGAAAAATATTGGAATCAAATTGATTCAAGACACAAACAAGTCAATACTAAATATACCTCACGTTATAGAATACAAAAACATACATCATAAAATAGAACCTAAGGGTAACAACTAATAAGTGACAATGGGATAGAAGTAGAATGCTTTAATGTTACTCTGAAAAAGCCAAGTTCTATTTCTTGGTCTCCTACATTTACAATATCTTCTCCATATTCATGTGAGCTTCTTATTAATTAAAATCAATTTAACAAGGGATAGGATATTGTGCCTACCTTTTTTTCATGCCTACTCTACCTACTTATCTCCAACACCGTTATATCAGAATCTCAACTAAAATAGCTACTACGCTCAAGGCATTATAATAATATCAGCTTATTAATTAAAATCCGTAACAAGAAACAGCAGTTGTCCCGTGGTATTCGAGCTCAATAATTTAACTCTGAGCCTACTAACTAAGAAGCAGCTGTGGTGCAGTGGTGAGTTGCAACACCACCAGCAGTACAGCCCAGGTTTGATCCTCGTGACTGCAATTTTGCAGGAATTTCTCAATAAAAGTGAACCAGTTCAACCGGTCAATCATGTCCAGTTCGTAACCAATTCACCAGTTTCATGACTCACTCTCTGCATACAGGCTTTGGATGCTTGACCAGAGCAGCTCATTTTAATAACACTAGTAATGATGAACCAACTAACTTCTATCTAACAATTCTGCTGCAATTCTTTTTTTCTACCAGAATAATGACAAACTGACAACGACGAGAAGATGGAACTAAAAGCTAAGTATCTATCAAACAAAATTTTCTTTATCACCCCTTTCTTGAAATCACAATAACTTGTCACTGCTCTGGCAAAGCTCTCCATTTGTAGCAAGTGCCTTACGTATTAGTATTCTCATTCAAACTCATTATCTCAACAATTATTTCTTCATTTTATTTCCTGTAAAAAAATTATAAATTACTACGCTTGATACAACCTATTTTCCTTGGAATAACTATTAAAATTAACCTACCTTAATTAGTTGTCTTATTTAAAAAGATAGATCTGCAAGGCACTCAAGAAAAAAAAAAAAAAAACTATTTTTAATTTAATACCAAAACACTCAAGAAATTAAAGCAACAGATGCAAGGCATTCCAAATAGATATTGGCTGCTGAAATCTGATATGACTGGAACATAAGGCAAGTGCTTACATCGCATTCCATCTGTCCAGGCCGCTGAGGATAGATAGTTTCTGCTATTCCCACCTGAGACTGGAACAAGTAACATGCATGAGATGCATTAGCTTTTAAGTATAGTCATCTATGATGATATCTCAAGGAAACACAATTCACAGTAATTTAAGAATGGCTACTTTTCTAAGCTGATAATACTGCTTTCTACAATGTTGTTTGTTGTTAATATTATGAGTTGTGCTAGAGCATTTCCAAACTAGTCCTCCTACGTCCTTGAGGCAAAACAAGCAAAGAGGCCTCACCTCTAAGGGACCCAAAGATTTACTTTTCTAAGTAAGAGAAACATATACCATATACATAAAGTGCCCGTTTGGATAGGCTTTTATTCCCTAAAAAGTTGCTTTTTTAAAAAATAAAAGTCCTTTTGAAAAAATTTAGATGTTTAGATAACAACTTTTTAAAAAAGCAAAATTTAAAATAAAAGTTAAAATGCTGCTTTTTTTTATAGCCAGTAGTTGGTTGCTTTTAAAAAAAGCAGAAATTAAAAGATAATATAAATTATTTTTTTTGGAAAAAAGATAATGAAAATTTTTAAAATACAATTTTAACCCCATCCTATCATACTTATTTTATCTCTCCTTATCCCTATTTTATCTCTCCTTTATTGTAATTTTATATATAAAAAGTACTTTTTTTATTTTAACATCCAAACAAGTTTTTTATGTAAAAGTGATTTTCAGGTCATACATCCAAACATAAAATAACTTTACCTTTTAAAAAAAGTTATTTTAAAAAAAGCAATGCATAAAAAGTCATTTTTTTAAAAGCTCATCCAAACGGGCCCAAAATCTACTTAAAGAGAAGCATCATTTCAAAAAATACTAAGAATTTGGGGGAACAGGGAACTAGGTAATTATGAAGAAAGTGAAGCTAGCAAGTTATGCAAAAGCAAAGAGGCAACAACAACAAAAAAGATAACTAGAAGAATATGGACATCAACATCAACATCAACAACACCTTTATCCCAAACTAATTAGGGTCGGGAGTAGATTAACCAAAAAGAAAAATACGAAGGGATTGAAAAAGATAAAAATAAAAAAATAAAATAATATATATATATATATATATATATATATAAAAATATAAAAGTAAAAATAAAAGGGGTGTAGGAAAATAAATAAATAAGTAGGAGAAAAAAAAAGATGGGGAAGGGGAAAAGAGAGAAAGGAAAAGAAGAAGATGGAGAGATGAATAGGAAAAGGACTAAAAATGGATCATCTGGAACATAAGAATAACAACGGGTCTAACCCTCCATCATGCTTATAGCTTTTCTCTATTCCGTCCTAAGACACATTGTCCGTCAATCTATATCTCACTCCATTAAGTCTTGTTTTACTATCTCCCCCAAGGGGTGTAGGAAAATAAATAAAAAAATAAAAAAAGGGACCATCCTGGAAGAATATGGACATGTATACAAAAAAATGTATGAGCACAAAATCACAATGTCTATAAAGGTCAGGCAATATAATAAAGCAAAAAAGACACCATGAGAATCGCAAAAGTTCATACTACACAACCCCCTAACAACCATACTTAACTACTTATCATTCATTCAGATTGAAAGCTGTACATCCTACATATATTATTGCTAAGTAACAATGTAAGGAAGAAGAATAATAACATCAATTTTTCCATGTTCCAAGCTGCACATATTCATTCAACCCTCATGCAACCGTTCCATGTACCAGGTTAGACTCTATCCAAGAGTATCTAGATTATGCCCAAGCCATAGCATATATGAACTCTATATGTGTCTTATATATGATTGTTAGATGGTTAGAGCTGAGTAATAACAGGGGCTTAGCTTAAATAGTAGGAAAGGGATAGAAAAGAAATCATTCTGACTATTGTTAGTATTGCAGAACTGAGCAATAATTCCCTCCTTTTCTTTTGAGACTAATTCATAACTAACAGTTTCGTTCTCTCTTTTCCTCTTTTTCATAGTAGTACTTTCAGCTCTCTTTCTTGCGTGTTCCTAGCAAAAACATAGACTCATATTCATGCTTTACAGATAGGAAGTGTCTTAACAAGCATATAGCTAGGAAAATGACTAAGCTTAGACACAATTTCTAACCTGAATTCTCCTTTTACAAAACTTCAGATTTTGCTTTACAGCATTACATAAGCATAAAAATGGGATAAAAGGGCAAACGCTGTACACAAGGCTCCTCGATTTGCGTGGGTAAGGATAAGGGTCGATTGTATGCAACCTTACCTTTGCATTTTTTGCAAAAAAGCTATTTCCCATACTCGAACTCGTGACCTTCTGGTCACAAAGAGCAACCTTACCACTACTTCAAGGCTCACCTTTTACAGCATTACATAAGCATAATTTTATAAAATTTATTAGCTTGGCTCCTCCCATATCAGGCTTTTCCCCATCACAAGATTGGTGCATGTCATAAGTCTTAATCAGGGCCTATAATGCTACTAACAGATGACCAACAAATAAAGGACCATGGGAAAGAATTAAAACAGGACCTTTAAGTCGACGCAGTTCAATCTTACTGCTTGAGCCAACCCTCAATTTTTTGTTTAAAAATAAGGCAACTATAACAGCCATGCCATATTCCATTCAGTGGAACAAGTGCAAAAGTACCACAAAATCAAGAACTTCCCAGGTCACCCATCAATTTTATGTTCAAACATGCCTAAATATTTATTTTAAACCATGAATGAGCAGCAGGTGTTGGCATACATTATTTGCAATTTTCACCACTCAATTCTGTAGGAGAATAATGATAGCAATAACTTCAACATTACCATTGGATTTGACAACCTTGTGTCTAAAGCTTGATAAACAGATACAGCTGGGTTAATCACTCCAATATTCAGATTAGCAGCCGAGGATGCCAAGACAGAAGGGCCAAATGCAGAAACCGGCGAATTAATTACTGCACCAAAGTACAGCCACGTAAAATGATTGTTTAGGAAACATGGAAAAGTATGAACAACCAATACAACATATACATACAATTGAATCTGAAATATATTGTATATTCAAGTGTGTAAGTTTGTACAAGGAGACTCTCTATTTATAGAGACTAAAAGACCTAATGGGATGACCTAATAGGCCAAGCCCACAATCTAGACTATTCTAGACTATTCTAATAATAATAAATTAATATTATTTCTAACACTCCCCCTCAAGCTGGTGCGTATATATCAAAAGCTCCCAGCTTGTTACAAATATGATCTATTCGGGGACCTCTAAGAGCTTTAGTGAATACATCCGCAAGTTGATCATTGGAATTGACAAATGCTGTCTCGATCTCCCTTGACTGGATCTTTTCTCTAACAAAATGACAGTCAATTTCTATATGCTTGGTCCTCTCATGAAAGACTGGGTTAGAGGATATATGCAAAGCGGCTTGGTTGTCACAAATGAGCTTCATAGGCCTTTGTTCACAGAGATGGAGTTCCTTCAACAATTGTCTCAGCCAGATGAGCTCACAGGTTGCATTTGCCATTGCCCGATATTCTGCCTCCGCACTGGATCTGGCGACCACAGTTTGCTTCTTACTCTTCCAAGAGATCAAATTTCCTCCGAAAAGAACACAATACCCTGAGGTGGATCGTCTATCTGAAGGAGAACCTGCCCAGTCAGCATCTGAATAACTAGAGATCTCTGAACTCCCTTTATTTGTATATAATAAACCTCTTCCTGGCGCCCTTTTAATATATCGGAGAATTCTAATAACTGCATCCCAATGGGAGTCACAGGGAGAATCAAGAAATTGACTTGCAACACTCATTGCGAAGGAGATATCTGGCCTTGTCACAGTAAGATAATTCAATTTTCCAACTAGTCGGCGGTAGCGACTAGGATCTGGCAGTGGCTCCCCCTGTCCTGGTAATAACTTAACATTGGGGTCCATAGGTGTATCAATGGGTTTACAGCCTAACATGCCAGTCTCATCTAGGATATCCAGTGCATACTTCCTCTGACAGATGGAAATGCCCCGCCTAGACTGTGCAACTTCGATCCCAAAGAAATATCGAAGTCTGCCAAGATCTTTGGTCTGAAATTGATTGAATAAATGCTCTTTCAATTGATCAATCCCAGTCTGATCACTGCATGTAATGATAATGTCATCAACATAGACCAGGAGATAAACGCACTGGCCAGAAGAGCTATGCCGGTAAAAGACAGAATGATCGGCTTTGCTTCTGATTAAGCCAAAGGATTCAACAACTGAACTAAAGCGGCTAAACCAGGCCCGAGGAGATTGCTTCAGGCCATATAAAGATTTTCGAAGTTTACATATCATTCCAGAACTCTCCCCCTGAGCAACAAAACCTGGTGGTTGCTCCATATAAACTTCCTCTGCAAGTCACCATGTAGAAAAGCATTCTTAATATCAAGTTGGAGAAGAGGCCAGTGATGAATGGCGGCAAGGGCAAGAAACAGGCGAACAGAAGCCATCTTAGCAACAGGAGAAAAGGTATCCCCATAATCAAGACCAAAGATCTGTGTGTATCCCTTGGCCACTAAACGAGCTTTAAGGCGATCAACAGTGCCATCAGGACTAACTTTAACTGTGAACACCCATCGACAACCAACAACAGACTTCCCGGGAGGAGCACGAACAAGATCCCAAGTGCCATTGGAGTGAAGTGCCTGCATTTTATCAAGCATCACCTGGCGCCACCCTGGATGAGATAGTGCTTCACCTGTGGTTTTAGGGATGGAAACAGAAGAGAAACTAGAAACAAAAGTAAAATGTTGTGAAGAAAGTCTGTCATAACTCAAGAAAGAATAAAGGGGATGAGGATTTCGAGTGGATCGAATACCTTTCCGAAGGGCAATGGGAGGAGTCTCTGATAGAGGATCCGGAGGAGAAGAGCCGACGGGAAAGGGCGATGAGTCATCAAGAGGCAAAGTCGGAGGAGGTGCAGGCTGACGACGCTGGTATGTGAGGAGAGGACGATCTGTAGGTATGGAGGTAATTGGTTGCTCCTCTGGATAGGGTCACCTGCAGCTGGTAAAGACAAGTCAAGAAAAGGAACAGGAAGGACCTGATCAACTTGTGACACTGGAGACGGAGTAGAGTAAAAAGGCTGCTGATCAAGGAAAGTGACATCAGCAGAAACGATATAACGCTTGAGATCAGGAGAATATCAACGATACCCTTTTTGAAAACGGGTATACCCAAGGAAAAAACATTTGAAGGCCTTGGATGTCAACTTGTCTTTACCTGGAGCAAGATCATGAACAAAATAAGTACAGCCAAAAATATGTAAAGGCAGAGGATAAGAAGGTGTTCCGGAAAACAAAATACTGTGGGGAACATCATTATTTAGCACAGAAGAGGGCATGCGGTTGATAAGGAAACATGAGGTGATAATAGCATCTGCCCAAAAACGGAGTGGGACGTTCATATGAATGAGAAGAGTACGTGCAGTTTCAACTAGATGTCTATTTTTACGTTTAGCGACTCCATTTTGTTGTGGAGTGTGGGGACAGGTAGTCTGGTGTATCGTCCCATGTGTATCCAGAAATTTAGAAAATTCAAGAGGCACATACTCTTTTGCATTATCACTGCGCAAGATTTGAATAGAAGCACCAAATTGAGTTTTTATTTCTGCACAAAACTTTTGATAAATTGAAAATAACTCAGAACGATTTTTCATTAAATAAACCCAAGTGCAACGGGAGAAATCATCAATAAAGGTTACAAAATACTGAAAACCCAAAACTGACATAGTCCGACTCGGACCCCAAATATCAGAATGAACAATAGAAAAGGGAGCAGCAGCTCTGTTATTGACTCTACTAGCAAAGGAAGAGCGAGTATGCTTTCCCTGCTGACAATTCAAAGACTTAAGACCTGACAAAAAAGGAACCATATGCTGAAGCTTCGAGAGACTTGGATGACCCAGACGGCTATGGAGAAGCTCAGGAGACTCTGTGAGAGAGCATGCAACTGGAGCAGAGGGTGCATGCAGATAGTAGAGACCTCGTGACTCACCGCCCGCTCCAATCGTCTTCCTCGTACCCGGATCCTGCATAGAAAAAGATTGTTTAGAAAAGGTGATAGAGCAAGAAAAAGAATGGGTCAATTGACTAACAGAAATTAAATTAAAAGGAATGCCAGGGATGTAATAAACAGAGGTTAAAGTCAAGAAGGGAGTTGGTTTGGCTTGCCCAATGCCACGAGCAGGAGCCTTGGTGCCATCAGCAAGAGTAACAGAGGGAAGATTATTAGAAAAGGTAAGGGAAGTAAAAAGATCCTTATTACCACAAAGATGATCAGTAGCACCTGAGTCTATTATCCAGGGTCCAAGAGACGATTGAGAAAAACAAGCAACATGATTACCAGTATCTGGAGCAGGTGGCTGAGAAGAACTCTTCTGGAGAAGGGCCTCATAGTCTGCAGCGGAAATAGTCACTGATCCGGTAGAGGGTGACACAACATCTGTTTGAGCAAAGTTCATATGTGGTGGCTTCAAGTGAGGGTACTTTCTATAACAACGTTCTTCAATGTGGCCAGATATTGGCAATAATTACACCGAGGCCTTTGTCCTCGGCCACCCTGATCGTCTGTCCACGCCCGCCTGGGCCATATGATGTCATGGGCCCGCGACCGCCTTGTCCGCGGCCACGACCACGACCGCGTCCACCATTGTTCCAATTACCACGAGAGACTAAAGCAGCAGAATCAGACAAGAGAGCAGTAGAGTCAGTAGCTGGCACGTGTGCGGGGGCCACCTTATCTTGAAGATTCAGAAGGCGCTGAAAGGTCTGGGATATGCTGGGAATCTCAGTACTGGTTAGAATGTTCTCACGAACACTTTCTAATCCGTCAGGGAGACCAGAGAGAGTCACAACCGTAAAGAGACGCTCCACTTGCGTCCTGTACACTGTAGCATCCGCAGCATGAGGTAACATAGTCAAAAATTCCTGCATCAAAGAACGAATCTTACCAACATAAACTTCCATACGAGCTTCGGGTGATTTGCGCAAATTCATCATCTGGGAGACAATGGAATAAAGTTGCTGAATATCATTGGTGTAGAGGTTTTTGGCTTCCGTCCACACATCATAGCAGGTCTCAAAGGGAATGAAAATATTGAGAAGAGATGAATCAATGGATTGCCAAAGAATACTGAGGAGCTGAGCATCAACTTTCTCCCATTCAGTCATCTGATCTTTGGAAATATCAGTCTTCTTAGTGGTGAGATGTTTGTCATGGCCTTGACCGGTAAACCAGATCTTAACGTAGGTAGACCAGGTCTTGTAAGTGGCAGATCCGGTCAATTTCAGAGTTGTGATAGATGGAATAGCACTTGAAATGATGCCGGAAGAATGTTTACTGGTTCCTTCCATCAGGAACAGCGATCAGACAACCAAAAAACTGTAAAAATCACGCGAAAAAGGAACAAAGTAGCGACTTTTGCATTGGAAACCCTCGAATGGAAGAGACCCACAACGATCGGGCACCGGATCTGGAAGGAGGAGGCAGAGGCGAGCCTGTCTGCCTTGGTTTGGCCGGAAAAGGTGGCCGGAACAGTGCACACGCGCCGGAGAGAGGTGGCGCGTGAGGCCCACGTGCAGACTGCTGTGGTGGCGCGTGGAGGCGCGTGCGGCGGCCGTTTGGGACGGGTCTTGGACAGAAATGGTCGCCGGCGTGAGGGGATCCTGATCGCGTGGTTTCTCGCCGGAAAGGTGGCCGGAACAGTGATGAATAGTGACGGAACAGTGTTTCTAGCGATGTGAACAGTGTTTTCCGGTCAAATAATGAAGGAGGATGACGATCTGAGATCGAAAAAGGGTCTAACAATGTTCGGAGGGTTGAAAAAGGTTGCCGGTATGATGCACGGCAGTAAAAAGAAGGGAAAAGATATATATGCGGAAGCAAAGCCCTCAGATCGAGAGCTCTGATACCAAATTGAATCTGAAATATATTGTATATTCAAGTGTGTAAGTTTGTACAAGGAGACTCTCTATTTATAGAGACTAAAAGACCTAATGGGATGACCTAATGGGCCAAGCCCACAATCTAGACTATTCTAGACTATTCTAATAATAATAAATTAATATTATTTCTAACACATACCATTCCTGTCAGGATGATTGTAGCGGCAAGTGGCACCATACTTGCAACTATCCACATGAATGATAAAAAAAAAGACAAAAGAAAAAATAGTTAAGGACCTTCCATCCATGGAATACTTCTATTAAAAATCAATTAAAGATAAATCAATACTTACCTTCCAGTTTTCATGTAGAATGGACAATCCACTTCCCCCTGTCAGAAGAGATTTATACAGCGAAAATCAGGCTTTTCAAAGCAATAAATTATCAGACTAAAAGTAATCAACTAGCAAATTATGCGCATCCTCATATATAATTTATAAAACATCAAAGACAAAAATAAATGAAGAAAACTTGAGTTACACAGATTGCAACCTAGCAAAAGCCTGAGTTACACAGCCAGACAAAATCAACCTACTAAAACAAATTGAAAATCACAGCTTCTGCTACAATCATTTATTAATCACAGGCACCATACTATTCTCAACACTCAAAGCAGCATACAGCTAGAGAATAATGGAACAAAAAGGAAAAGTCAAAGAATATGATACTCGACGAATGTGAATATAAAGAATTTAATAGAGAATTAATACCAGTCTTACAGGAAGCCCTTTGCTATTCTGCAACAGTGGTGATATAAGAGGCTTAATTGGTTGTGTATCTCCTATTATGCCCTCCATCATATATTTTGTTTGTGTCTGTTCAGCAGTATGACTCAGTTCATCAGACAACTGAATCTGGATATCTTTGGGGTGATGGAATTTACATGAGGCACCAAATTTACATCTTCCAGTTTTCATGTAAAACTGCATATTCAAAACATGAAGTAAGCCACAGATAAATGATGTGTCATGTGAAAGTAAAAGATAAATATCTAACCGCACAAGGGGACTCTAATGGTCTCTCAGGTAAGCCAGAAACATCAGCATTTTCAGAGGAAACCTTTGGATGATTAAATTTGCACCTTGAACCAAACTTGCATCTTTGAGTTTTCAGAAAGAACTGCAATTATTAGACTCGAAATGAATTAGAAAATGTCCAAATGCATTTGAAGAAAGAAAAGGAGGAAGAAGAATAATTGCAAATTCTACTCACTGGACAATCAGGTTCTTCTGGTCTCTCAGGAAGGGTTTCACTTTGAACAACATTTGGAACCTAAATCAGGTATGAATCAGTCATGTGTATCATGAAAAATTAGTAAAACCTTTTTATAGTTAAATCGAAATTGCTAGATGTTTATACTTCACCTTATGTGACCGAAATCCATTGCCAGCAGAGACAAAAAGATAAGAACGGTAAGAAACACATGCATATTGTGCTCACTACATAAAATAACCTGAACAGTGTTCTACTAGAATACAAAATAGACATCCCATCTACGCTTCAAACATATAATTGCTCACACCTACTTTAAACTTCAAGGGGGCACTAGAGTAGATACTATAGGATTGACAACTAGTAAAATATCATTCTAATACAGTAAAGAAGTTGACTACATTGACTATAGAATTGACAGATATATATTAAGTTGCCCAACTTCAAATAAGTAAATAGTTGTAAACAATCATGTCACAACATAATAACACACTTTTTTTAATATAAAACGTTTTATTAGCAGTGGAGAAATGTAAACAAAGTGCCATTGTGACAGGATTCAAATAGTATCACCCAAAGCTCCCAAATCAAGAGCTCTGATACCAATTAATAAGAACACAGGAATCAGAATATGTTGTATAGAATTTATAAGTAGAAATAGCCTTAACTATCACTGATATTACTGGACTATCAGCTCAGATCAAGGTAGATACAGACTACTCAATATCATTAACTCTATGTGACACAATAAGGAAACAGAATATCAAAAAGAAAGATAGTCAGCAATTTGAGGGGCTGTAACATCCCTTCCCAAACCTTAACCCGACTTTTGCTTGCCTTTCACTTCTCCACCCCTACTCTTTTACACTAACAGTTTAACAGAATATCCCACACTTTTTTCCCTTTTAACCTACCATGTAGCCAAGTGGTTACATTCTCAACCCATCTCTTACCTCATGTGGTCCCACGTTGGGATGCCTACGAGAAAGTAAACACTAGAAATCTTGGAGGAAACTGGGAACTGGCACGTTAAGTTACTCACTTGTGCACGCCCCCATTTATCCCAATTTCAAGCTTGAACCCAGATAAGGAGAGCCACTATCAAATCCCAGGAAGAATTGAAGACGTTGGGAAACTAAATTATCTTACAATTACACAAGATATTTCTTTTACAATGAGCATGATCAGTCAGTTTCTACAAGCAGCATGTAAAAGTATTAGGATAGTGTGAATTGAATCCTCAGGTATAACATAAGGTGGCTAAGAACTGCTAGATGAAGATAAGGGACATGCCCAGGTAATTAGGTTTGCAAATTATTGGACCAAATATAGATTACAAATATAGTAAAGTTCAAATGATTAAGAAACATGTCTTTACAAAGCTTCTCAGAAGTCCTCAATTTAAGTTAAATTTATAACAAGCTTTGTGCATATGATTTACATGCTCCAGCTTGAGCCAAAGTGATGAGATATTAGAATTATTTATTAGTCTTTAATATTATTAGTTGGTATATTGTTTACTACGAGTACTATTGTACTCAACATATTTGTGCTAGTTTTTATTCTATTATAATTCATAAACAGTTTTGGACCCTGACATACATAGAAATTAAGGGTTGTACCACAAATGTAATATATATATATATATAAATGGTAAGAAATAGAATTGGTTAAACTAGTACATAATACACCACTATATATATTCATAAATGCTTAACTCCACAATTTTCTATAAATATAGAATCAAAAGAATACATGACACTCTGCAATAACCAATAGTAAATGTACTATTCAATAAGATATAATTTTCATAGGCATAAATAATAACAAGAAACAGTCACCTCTTTCCAATCTGGGATTCCACCCTCAGGAACCCAAATAGGATGGTCAAACTTGCAGCTCTCTCCAAATTTACAGGTTCTTGTGAGCATATAGTGGGCACAATCCTTCTCTCCTGGCCTCTGTGGATAAATAGGCAAATTGCTTCCAGTTTCATATCTAGGGCGCTTGGCCAGTGAGTTTGTAGAATACCAAGCTTCATTTTGCCCAATTGTACCCAAAATGGTTGGATGGTAGAGCGCTATAGTACATAATAGACGAGTATATACAAGAAAGCCAAAGCAAATATATAATGTTACTTTATAAGTTTGACTTAGAAAATAATTTTTGACAAAGATCATATGCTTAGTAAATATAAAGAATATATTTTGTATCAAAAACGTGATGACTAATGTTCATAGAGAATGTATACAAGCTGTAAATGTACGTTATTAAGATCATATCAAAATAATGTGAAAATCTCTAGCACACAACACCGCATATTCCAGAAAATATGTAAATTGTAAAGTAGCAAAACCGAGCTGTTTGACTTCAAAAGGTCAAATTTTCTTTGTCAGAAGGTATGACACACTCAAATAAGAAGACAACTGTCGCACAATTTTTTTTTTTTCTGTAGATACTATTGTCCTTGCAGCTCAAATCAGGTAGCACACGTTCATTCAACACATCTTCTATTCTCTTTGCTCACTTGCTACACCACCCACGATTCCCAAAACTACATAAACCCCACCTAAGCCCGTGCCACTAGAGTCATAATCACAGACATCTGAATTTGTACTGCCTCTTAACTAGTATATTCTGATAGTAGGGACATTCAAGAAGTATATATGAGAAAAAGAGTAAACTACTAACATTACAATGACCAATGCACATGCACTAGGATGCTATGATTTTCATCCTCATCCTCATCGTTATTTAACATATATCTCAAATATAAACATTAACTGTTTTACTAAACTTGTTATAAAACTGAACACTGCAAACATTTACTCTGAGAATTACATGCACAACATTGATAAATGCAATATACCTTATCAAAAGAGAAAAAGGAGGGTTTCTCAATTTTGTCAAAAAAAAAGGGGGACAAATACACACTTCTTTTATTACATCGCCAAAAAACTAGTTATTGTGAATAATCGCCTTAAAACCAATTACTTTATTTTAGTGGTATTATGAATATCCCTAGTATCACTACAGTCTATTAAGTATCGTCAATTTTTGGGTTATTAATTAAAATCACTACACGTTTGGCTTTTCTTAAACGAATCTTAGATTATATACACAATATGTTCCATGTTATTCCTTACAAGCATATTGCTAACAGACTATAAGATCTACGTTAACCTTCAACCCAAAAACACAGTTACTTTCATATATATTTTTTTAATTTATTTAATTTAAATTAAGATACAGTGCCAGACTCATTCCACCAATCCATTAAACGAAGCATAATAAAAAATAAAATCAAATAAAATAAAACAAAACAATGTAGAAGAAGACAAAAAAGGGGGTAACAAAAACAAACCTTCAGAAGAGCGTTTCAGGTCAAGGGCAGCAGAGCCGACATTTGCGGCGGCAGCGGCGGCGGCTACGGCGGCAGGCCAGGAAGAAGCGTGAGAGAACAAGTTGGAGGTTGTTGAAGAGGAGATTCTGGAAGCAACCCCAGGCGGGCCAATATCGACGTCGGCGGTGGCGGAAGAAGGATAGCGGAGAGCGGCGGCGGTGGCGGCGGCGGTGTCGGAGCGGTGGAGGTGGTGGTGGTAGTGAGAGAGGAACATGGTATCAGGGTCACGGAATCTGGGTGGAGATGGTGCTCCGACTCTGTAGTGGGTAGGGCTGTAAGAAGCGTAGATGTGTTTTTCCATTTCAACAAAAACTAAGAAAAAATAAGAAACGAAAAAGTGATGTTGCTGTCACAAGAAAAGAGTGTGATTGCACTGTGGCTTCTCTTCTCTTTTAAAGTGGATTTGGTGGGGGACCCATCTTTTTTACTCTTATTTTTTACAACGCAACGTGTCAATTAGGAGAAATAATAATAAAGTTATTCTAAACAACTTTATTTAATGTTTATCTAAATACATATAAAAGTGTAAAGAGTCCATTTTTTTTTTCTTTTTTCTTTTCATATGATGCACATGAATTTCATATTTTTTTATGTGTATTTTGATAAACATTTAAAATTTTGATAAACCCATAACAATAATAGCAAAAAATATTTATCATTTAAAGAAGTGTCCTTTTAATTGAAAGTAGTGTTGTTCATTTAAAATTTAAATTTAAAAAAAATTCTCAATTCTTCTCCTGATTTTCATTATCTATCTCTTCATCTCACTTAAAATGACATAATTTTATGTCATTTAAAAGAATAAATATTAATCTCATAATAAAAATAATAATAAATGTTGTTAATCTTATTTTATTATTGGAAAAAATATTTGTTCTTTTAAAGGATTGTCAATTTAGTTAAAATTAGTATTTTTTATTTAAATTTAAATTAAAAAACTTCTCACTTTCTTTTCCATGATTGTGTATTCTTTCTCTCACATAAAATGATACAATTTTATATCCTCTAAAAGAATAAACAATAATCCCTATATTCTTAAAAAAAATAACATTAATGGTTCGTTTTTTTTTTTGGTAACACATTCATGATAATTAAAATCTCGATTTACCACAATTTTTTAAGTTTTTATCGTTTTTTTATCAGAATTTTTTTTATCAATATTTCAAATACTTTTACTTTTTATTATTTTTTAATGTTGCGATTTAACATTTTATGATTTTTTATTCATTTTGAACTATATTGGAGACATTAATGCTTCTTTGATTTCATTCATCGTATGACGACCCAATAAAAATAAAATAAAATCTCTTAAAGAATATTCCAAAGTTGAATTTGCTTACCATTTTATTATTATTCAGTTATGGTATTGTAATAATGGATGATGGTATTTTTGGGGTTCATTATATTCTCTTAATTAATTGAATACCATAGTTACATTATTATTATGTATAATAATTAATATACGATTTAAAATTATTTATAATAATTAATATACCATTTTATTATTATTATTCTGTTATGGTATTGTAATAATGGATGGTTGTATTTATGAATTTCATTAGATTCTTTTAATTAATTGAATACAATAGTTAGTTACATTATGATGGTTTTTCAAATGATGGTCGTCGACGATACGTGTTTTGCGTTCTTTCTTTGATCGAGTATGTGTTTTTCATTTTGGAGGAACGGATTTCGTTCCTGGAATTTAGGGTTTAGAGAGAAAAGGGAGGATAGAGAAAGGGCATGAGAGGAAGTGAGGAGGAAGAAAAGGAAAAAGTGATTTATTTTATTCGATAAATATTTACCGTTTGATGAGATTGTAATCTGACGGAGTTGAAAAAGGTAAGCATAAGTAAGCAAAATAAGGGTAGGTAGAATAACATATTCCCTGTTCTTAAAAAAAAAGTTCCACTTTGAGTTCTTGTACTTATAACATGTATCATTTAATTGCATGTAATTTTAAACTTATCACTTAGATTTTGAATAATTACAAAACAAATCATTTAAGTTAAAAATGTTCTTACTATATAAAATGACAAAAATACAATTTACTAAATAAAGTACTAAATTATAAATAGAATAAGAAAAATAATCCTAATTAAAATATACTTTCCGCTTTGTTCTTTAGATCAATTCTTGTGTGTGTGTGTGCTGGTTCTCCATAAAATCTATCATCAGACATGAGCTACACCTCTTTAAACATATTCAGGTAAGGAAGATGATATATCTGAATTTAGAAATCTATCTTAGTTAAATTTATGATGGAAATTCCCAGCTAATCATGTCAATTAACTTGATTTAACTCTAACCCAAGCTAAATGTTACAATTTTTTGTTTGGGCTTATTGGAGCATGTGACTTAACTTGCAATTGGACTAAAAGGAGCACATCTATGTTATTTTGGATATGGATTTAAAATGAACAATTAATGTGTATCGAAATAGGGTGATAAGATAATAAATTGTGGGATCAATACGGATCATAAGAACTTACTTTCTTTCTTAATTTTGATTATAAGAAATTATATATATATATATATATATATATATATATATATATATATATATATATATATATATATATATAGCGAGAGAGAGAGGGGGTAGGATATACTTACTACCAAAAATATTTACCACATTTGCAACTAACCTAATTACCGTTGATATTTGTCAATTTAACGATTATAATTTATTGAAAATTGATAATTAATTAATAAGTGTGACTCAATATTTTCCAATAAATTATAAACATTAGATTGATGGAAATCATCGATGATTAGGTTAATTTTAAGGGTGATAAATTTTTATGGTGATAAGTATATCATTCTCCATATATATATATATATATATATATATATATATATATATATATATATATATATATATATATATTTAAATTACAACTTTAATTATTAAAGATAGCAAAAGAATTGAAATATAAAAGATAAATCCAAATCATCACTAAATTTAAATAATTTAATAATAATTTATTTATCAAATAAATATATCTTACTGAAAATATAATATAATATTCAAAATCTATTATTCAAATAACTATTAAATTCAATTAAAAACTTTAAATTATAAATTTTACAATCAAATTTTATTAGTTATGTTAAAAAATTATTATGCTAATTTAAATAAAAAAATAAAAAAAACTTAAAGTTAAAATTTGTAAACTTGAATCAGTAAAAAAAAAGTGCAAGGATCTAAAAATAATGCAGAGACAAAATTTAAAACATGGATAAGTGGGTAAGCTATTCTTAGAAATGACTCTTCCTCTTTCTTAAAAAGAACTAGTCTTCTTTTCTCTTCAAAATAAAATTTTCTCTCTCTTCAAGTAACTGGGCAATTTTTTTTTTTTTTTTTGCTCTCTTTCTCTATCTCTTCCAATGATGGTTACATTCTTTGTGGATTTGGTCTTTGATGACCACTGCCAATGACAATAACCAACTGATTCCTTCTTCTCACTCTTGTTCCTATCAAATTGGGGTTTTTCCCTCGAATTGCTAGAATCGTGGGATTGTTTGATTGCACCGGTTCTACGTGTTTACCCATCGATCCAACCGATCTAAGAAGAAAACTATCCTATATGTGATTCAGCTCATTTGAAGAAGGAAAAAATCGTGGGATCGTACGATGCTACGATCTTCCATATGATTTTAACAGTTACGAACATGTGAAAATTCATTTTATGTAGGAATCGAAGTAAAAGAAGGAAATTGAAAGCTTTCATGTGACAGCTCATCAAAAGAAAAGTAATTAAAGAAGTCACAAAATTTAAGCTAAAGGAAGGTTTGAGAATGGGGCAAAAGTATTTTGCACAAAACATAAAAGGACAAAAGTGCTTAACAAATCAAATCAAAAAGCAAAACAACCTTTTGTTCTGGCCAGTCAACACAAGTCCAATAAGTTGAGCCGGCTATCCAAGGCCTATTAAAGGTCTACTTTTGTTGTATCTCACAAATGAGCTCATAATCCTCACCGCAGGAAATTTCCTTCACCCTGCACAACTCTCTATCGTGCACGCATGATGCTGAGATAGTGCCTCACTACAAAAAGTGAGGCCTAGGCTAATGGTTTTTTGGCTTATTCTCTCTCTAATCATTAGGGAATGTCTTCCCACCAAATTGAAAAAGGCTGGTTTGGCAAGCATTTGGGGATATAAAAAAAGAAAAGGACTAAAGGAAAAGAATCGCTTCATCATATTCCACTCCTCCATACGCTCATTCATCTTCTTCTCCTATTTTACTCTTGTAGAACATTTTCTTCTTCTTTTTCCTTTTATGGAATTTAGTTTCTTTTATGTAATGTTTCTGTTCTGATTTCCTTTTATTTTGTTTCAGACTTAGACATGCTTTATAGCATTAGCTAAGCCTTTTTTTGGTTGGGAATTACAAGTACATGTTTTATGTGTAATTTGTAGAAACTCGAGCAATTACTGGAGCAACTATTGAAAATATTGAACAACTTGTTGCAGAAAAAGAGGCACAACCATAACTCAACAATGAATCATTTCTAAAGCAACTCCATTTGGAGAAGAAATAGAAATTTCACTTCTTAGTTGCATACTCCACCATAAAAAGTTGCCTCACAACCACATAATTCTCCACATAGAAGACCTGAAAAAGTAACCCAACTACCACTTTGTCAGAGAATAAAGAAGCAAAATGAAGACAAACAATTAGAAAACTTCTAGAACTACTAAAATAGTTGTACATCAATATTCCTCTAGTATAAAGCATTAGAGCAAAAAGTTGATGCTTATCCAATCTTCAAAAAATTGTGAGTAGGAGTAATTAAGCTCTAGCTAGTTGATAAATCCATTGCATACCCAAAGGGCAAGATGTAAAGAAAAGAATGATTGTGTACTAAAAAAAGAAGAAGAAAAGAATGACTAAATAATCACACAAGAGGGGGCTGAATTGTGTTTTAACTTACAATGCAAGAAACACAGAAATCAAAACATTTTTTTTCAGGAAAACACCCAAAAATATGTAGAACATAAATCAAACATTTCCTAATATAAAAACAGATTTAAAACATATCAAATAACAGAGATATTACAATGATAACAAAAGAGATAAAGGAAAAGGAAGAAACATGCCAAGATTTATCCCGATTCACTCTCTAACCACTTGAGAGCTACATCCAGATTGAGGATGACGATTCCACTATATTCTAACTTATAAACGGTGCCATAAAAATTGTTTTACAAGGAGATTTTACAAGAACTATGATCAAATCTTTGATCACTCTCAACCTATAACCTATAGGATCTCTCCAAACATCTATGAACGAATTACAGCAATCTCAAAAGTTCAAACAACAATAGAGCAATCTCTCTGCGTTCATAATTATGTGAAAGAACAGAAAAAGATTAAGAGATGAACGAGATATTGAGTTTTTCCCTCAATATGTCAAAATATAGCCAAATTTGTATTTAATCTTTGATTTTCAACAATCTGATGTGTTTTTATGTTAATTCATGTTTAGGAACCTTCATTGGACGTTTATATAGGAGTCTAATCAATTAGATAGCCATTGGACCCCTAAAACTTAATGATAACATGCTGATAGATCCATATTAGGATATTCGTCGAGCACATATCCTGATATTTATCGGGCACTGATAAACCCTTAGTTCATCAGATTTTTCAGCATGAATTAGTATCAATTTGTGTGATTAAATGATGGAAAAAGAGGTTAATATCCTAGAATGTCCTCAACTACAAGTTCTAGAAGCTTTATTGAGAATTTGTATTGTTCTTGTAGGAAAAGCAAGCTAAAAAGGCAACTGGAGAAGGAAGAAGATTCTGAAGAGGGGAAAATGCCTAAGTGTTGAGCGCTAAAACGTCCACACAGAACGTTTTAGCGCGCTGCTGCATTCCGAGGATGAAAAGTTGCTGGTCTTGGGCGCTAAAACTTCCTGTAACAAGCGTTTTAGCACCCTGATGTTAGAAAAAGCCTCTGGTCTCCAACGCTAAAACGTCCAAACCAAGTGTTTTAGCGGTGGAGTCAGTTGAGGACAGTTGAGCATTCACAAGGCGTTGACGCTAAAACGACCATTCATGAACGTTTTAGCGTTCAAGTCAGTTGAGGACAGTTGGGCATCCGTCAAGCATGGACGCTAAAACGCTCATTCTGAACGTTTTAGCGCCCATATTAAATTTCTGTTTTAAATTGTAAAACTATATAAGGCAAAGGCCTTCACATTTTAGAAAATCTGGAGTTTCTCTTTCTCTCTCCTACATCAGATTCTCTGATCTAACTTCTCTCTAAATTTCTTTAGGACTTAGTCTTTGTATTAGTTAATTTTCTATTGTAATTGCACTTGGAGATTGAAGATTCACTACATGGAAATGGAGTTTGATCTTTCTTCTCTTATATCTTCCTTAGTTATGTCTGAGTAGAGTCATTGTAGTCTGAATTCAATGGAACTCAATGATATTCTTATGTATGTTTGATTAATATGATGAAGTGTTTTTCATGTGTTGATATGATATTTTCTGATTCAATTCTTTCTACTAAGGGGGGAGTGTAGAACATGAATGTTTACACTACTCCTATATCTGACAATCTCATCATCAGGATTATAGTACTCAAGGAATTGATACTATAGTTATGATGTAATCTTAAGACCTTAGTATCTCATGCATGTATTAAGAAAGGAATCACCAAGGGATTGGGGTTTCTGATTAATGTATCTATCAGGGTAGTAAGGGATTACATCTTGAGGATAAGTAAAAGGTTGATTAACATCACAGGAAAAAGAGTTCATCATATGATCAATTTACATGAGTTTATTGTTGAGGAAAGTTGTTTTCTGACTACTTGTTTTTATAAATCTTAATTCAAATTTTTAGTATTAGATTAATTTACTTTCAAATTAAATTTCTGGTGACAAAACATTCATGATTTTTACAAACCTTTGTGTAATTCAAATTAGTTTTCTATGGTTCATTGGTGTTTGAATACAAATCTCTGTGGGAACGATCTTTACTCGTCATTTTATTACTTGTACGACTAGTACACTTGCTAGATCCGCAACAAGTTTTTGGCGCCGTTGCCGGGGATTTGTTTTTCAACATTGATTGATACTAATAGAAATCTGAGATTGAATCTTTTATTTTCAGCATTTTACTTTTAGTTAAGTTTTTGGTCGATTTTAATTCTGGTGTATGCGAGGTACGGTTGATCCAAATTTTTTGTTGTATGATCCAGAATTAGAAAGGACAGTGAGGAAGAACAAAAGGGCAGCCAGACAAAGAAGACAGTTTCAAGAAAGGGGTGAAACCAGTGCTGTAAACCAAGAAGAAGTTATGGCAGAGAACTACAGACCACCACCAGAACAGAGGACACTGGGAGAGTACATGACTCCTGCAGTGATCCCTCCCAGTGGGAGTGTTGTGCGCCCTACAGTGGAACCAAACAACTTCAAATTGAAGCCTGCATTGATACATTTGGTACAGAAAGATCAGTTTGCTGGAACTAGTGCAGAGGACCCATACTTGCATATAGAAAATTTTCTGCTGTTGTGTGATACTGTGAAAATTAATGGTGTCACAAGGGATGCAATTCTGTTGAGACTATTCACTCATTCACTGACGGATGATGCAAGGAGATGGTTGCAATCATTGCCACAGGGGATTATAACAACTTGGGATGATCTGCAAACCAAGTTCTTGCAGAGATTTTTCTCAGCATCCAAAAGGGCTAAGTTGAAGGATGAGATTACAGGCTTCAAGCAAAAAGAGTCATAATCCATCTATGAGGCCTGGGAGAGATTCAAGACTTTATTGAGGAAATGTCCACAGCATGGAATAGAGGCATGGCAACAAGCAGCAATTTTCCTACAAGGAATGACCACCAACACTAGGACATTGGTGCATGCCACTGCTGGTGGATTATTGAGCACCAAGACTCCTCAAGAAGCTTTGGATATCTTTGAATCATTGGCATCTCAGGAATTTGATAATGCCTCATTGCCTGACAGAAGGGTAGGGATCATCAAGTTGGATGGGTATGATGCCCTATTGGCAAGGAATGACTAGTTGATGCAGACACAGAGACAACATCAACAGCAGTTGGATGTTCTCACTGAGCAACTATCCTCACAAAAGGTTGCTTCTGTGGACACCAAGTGCGTGTGTGCTATCTGTGGGAAGGGCCATGTGACAGAGGAATGTGATTATGGGGGATCATCAGAGCAAGCAGAAGTTAATGGAGTGTGGTATGACAATAACAACCAGAGGAATTACAACAACCAGGGGCGAAATGTGTATGTGCCACCATGGAAGAACAAGAATCAGCACCCAGGGTTTAGTTATAGTTCCAACCATCAGTTGAATCCTCCACTGCATCCTCCTCCAACACACTTATCACAGCCAAGTGATACTGTTGCATGGGAAAAAGCCATTGCTCAGTTATCCAAGACTACTCAAGATTACATTCAGGGGTCTAATTCATTCAGAGAGGAAACATCTGCATTCATGCAAGAGACCAAGACTTCATTTAGAAATCAGGAAGCATCTATCAAGAATCTGGAGACCCAGATCGGTCAGCTATCAAGACAGATATCTGAGAGACCATAGGGGAAGTTTCTTAGTGATACAATGGTGAATCCTAAAGAGCACTACAAATCAATCATGACAAGAAGTGGGTTGGTGCTTCAACAGGTGAAAAAGAATGTGGAAGATAAGAAGAATGAAGAGGAAGTTGTGGTTGAAGATGTAGTCTTTGATGATGGAGTAGAAAAGGTGAAGGGAAATAAAGAAAAAGAAACAGTGAAGGAAGATAAGGAAGAAAAAGAGGTGGTAGTTGAAAATGATGTGCCCAAGAAGATGATGAAGTGGGAGAAGAAGAAGATGGCTGACAAGCAGGACCAGCAGTCACTTTGTCTCCATATGCCAAAGTTCCTTACCCTCAGAGGTTGAAGAAGGAGATTCAGAAACAACACTATGCAAGATTTCTGGATATTTTCAAAAATTTGCAAATTAACATTCCATTTTCTGAGGCTTTGGAGAACATGCCTCACTATGCCAAATTCATGAAAGATCTCCTTACTAAGAAGAGAAAATTGAATGATGGTGAAACAGTGGCCCTGACAGCAGAATGTAGTGCCCTGATCCAGAAGAAGCTTCCACCAAAATTGCAAGATCTAGGAAGCTTCAGCATTTCTATTGCTATAGGAGATGTGGAAGTGAGGAAGGCACTCTGTGATTTGGGGGCCAACATAAATCTGATGCCATTGACGGTATGTAGAGCCTTGGGAATCAACACCCTGAAGGAAACTAATCTTATCTTGCAGATAGATCTATTAAGAAGCCTGAAGGTGTGGTTGAAGATGTCTTGGTAAAGGTAGACAAGTTCATTTTTCCTGTGGATTTTGTGATACTTGACATGGAGGAAGAGGATACTGAAAGTCCTCTATTATTAGGAAGACCCTTTTTAGCAACTGCAAGATCTCTGATAGATGTTGAACAGGGGAAGTTGCTGTTGAGGGTGGATGAGGAAACTGTTACAATTGATGTTTTTGAAGCCATCAAACATCCTGTTGATGTGGGGGATTGTTTCAGATTAGATGTGATACAGGAGGTTGTGGAAGAAGTGAATAAAGAAGAAGACTTTTCATTGGAGGAAGAAAGATTTAGAAAGGAGAAATGTACAGAAGATTACCAAGAGGAACCAGAAGTGGAAGAGCTTGAAAAGAAGATTGATGACATTCCAGAGGGAGCACCTAAGGTAGAGCTTAAAGAACTACCTTCAAATCTGAAGTATGTGTTCCTTGGGGATGATCAAACATATCCAGTAATCATCAATGCAATGTTATCTGAGAGTGAAGAAGTGAAGTTGATTAAGGTACTCAAGAAGAATAAAATGGCTATTGGATGGCAGTTTTCAGATCTTAAGGGTATCAATCCTTCCTTTTGCACCCACAAAATATTGATGGAAGAGGAAATCAAACCAGTAAGGCAACCACAGAGGAGACTCAACCCCACTATGAAGGAGGTAGTGAGGAAGGAGGTTGTGAAGCTACTTGATGCTGGAATGATTTATCCTATCTCAGACAGTGCTTGGGTGAGTCCTGTTCAAACAGTACCCAAGAAAGGGGGGATGACTGTGGTGAAAAATGAGAATAATGAACTGATTCCCACAAGGACAATCACTGGCTGGAGAATGTGCATTGACTACCGGAGGCTGAACAACGCAACAAGGAAGGATCATTTTCCACTTCCTTTCTTGGACCAGATGTTGGAAAGATTGGCAGGACATGCTTTCTACTGTTTCTTGGACGGCTACTCAGGTTATAATCAGATAGCTGTCGCCCCAGAGGATCAGGAGAAGACTGCATTTACATGTCCATATGGAATTTTCGCATACCGGAGGATGCCTTTCGGCTTATGCAATGCTCCTGCCACTTTTCAAAGGTGCATGCTTTCCATTTTCTCTGACATGGTAGAAGAATGCATAGAAATTTTTATGGATGATTTTTCTGTATTTGGCTCTAATTTTGATGTATGTCTAGAAAATTTAGATTCTGTTTTAAAAAGATGTCAAGACTGTAATTTGGTTTTGAATTGGGAGAAATGTCACTTCATGATGACTGAAGGAATTGTTCTTGGGCACAAGGTGTCTAGAACAGGAATAGAAGTGGATAGGGCAAAAATCTCTGTGATAGAGAAACTCCCTCCACCTGTTAATGTCAAAGGTGTGAGGAGCTTTCTTGGTCATGCAGGATTTTATAGGCGGTTTATTAAAGATTTTTCAAAAATTGCCAAGCCTTTATCTAAGTTGTTGGTAAAGGACCAAGAATTTATTTTTGATGATGAATGTCTGCATGCATTCCATGTTTTGAAAGAAAAGTTGACCACTGCACCTATCATGATGGCACCTGATTTTTCATTACCATTTGAATTAATGTGTGATGCCAGTGACTATGCTGTAGGAGTGGTACTAGGCCAAAGAGTAGATAAATTATTGCATGTCATTTACTATGCCAGTAAAATCCTAAATGAAGCACAAAGGAATTACTCTACCACAGAAAAGGAATTACTGGCTATTGTGTATGCATTTGACAAATTCAGGCCATATCTGCTAGGGTCAAAAGTTATTGTTTATACTGACCATGCAGCTTTAAAGTATTTGTTAAGCAAACAGGATGCCAAGCCCAGGTTACTCCGCTGGATGTTACTCCTACAAGAGTTTGAAGTAGAGATCAAGGATAAGAAGGGGGTTGAGAACTTGGTGGCTGATCACTTGTCCAGGATTACAGAAAAGAACTTCAAGAAGGACCAGAGGTAGTGATCAGAGAAGAGTTTCCTGATGAACAAGTACTGGCAATACGTGCTGTTACGAAGATGGTGGGGAATAAAGTTCTATCCATTAGTACCCCACCATGGTTTGCTGATTTTGCCAACTATAAAGCTGCTGGAATGATGCCTAAGGATTTTACATGGCAACAGAGGAAGAAGTTTCTACATGATGTGAGGAGATACATTTGGGATGAGCCATATCTCTTTTTTAGGTGTTCAGATAGCGTGATCAGACGATGTATTCCAGAGGAGGAACAGAAAGATGTATTGTGGCATTGTCATGGTTCTGCTTATGGTGGACATTTTGCAGGAGAGAGAACTGCAGCAAAAGTATTGATGAGCGGTTTCTATTGGCCCACTCTTTATAAAGATGCCAAGAAGTTTGTGGAGGCATGTGACAACTGCCAAAGGACTGGGAATATCTCCAGGAGACATGAGATGCCCTTGAATAATATACAGGAGGTGGAGATATTTGATGTTTGGGGTATGGATTTTATGGGACCCTTCCCATCTTCCTACTCTAACAAGTACATATTGGTGGCAGTTGATTATGTGTCCAAATGGGTTGAGGCCATAGCTACACCAACCAATGATTCCAGGGTGGTGATTGCTTTTCTGAGAAAGAATATATTTTCAAGATTTGGAGTCCCTAGAGCTATAATCAGTGATGGGGGAACTCATTTTGATAATAGGATGGTGGAGTATGCTCTGGCTAAGTATGGAGTGAGGCATAAGATAAGCACTCCATATCACCCACAGACTTGTGGTCAGGTTGAAATTTCCAACAGGGAATTGAAAAGAATATTGGAGAAGACTGTTGGGAATGCTAGGACTCAATGGTCCAAGAAACTTGATGACACACTGTGGGCATACCGAACAACATTCAAGACTCCTATTGGAATGTCTCCATTTCAGCTATTGTTTGGGAAAGCATGCCATTTGCCAGTCGGATTGGAGCACAAGGCTTTGTGGGCAGTAAGATTTCTGAATTTCGACTCAAAGGCAGCAGGAGAGAAAAGATTACTACAGTTGGATGAATTGGATGAGTTCCGTCTCTCTGCATATGAAAGTGCAAGCCTATATAAAGAGAAGACAAAGTTATGGCATGATAGGAAGATCACACCTAGGGATTTCAAGGTGGGGGATCAAGTACTTCTGTTCACTTCCAGGTTGAAGCTGTTTCCATAGAAGTTAAAGTCTAGATGGTCTGGACCTTTTGTGGTGAAAGACATGAAACCTTGTGGGGCTATAGAAATTAGTTCTTTGGATTCAGACAGAAGTTTTACAGTCAATGGTCAGCGGTTGAAGTTATATGTTGGAAGTGTTGTGGATAGGCAACTACTGACAGTTGCTCTATTGGAGGTAAGATAGATCATACCCGTCAGGCTCGCGATGTTAAACATGCACTGAGTGGGAGGCAACCCACTGTACCAAGTAAGTAATTTCCATTTTCATACCCCATTAGCAAAATGAAGAAGGAAGGAGAGAAAAGTGTTGGAAATCTGAAAAGAAATTTTTTACAAGTGTTGGGCGCTAAAACTTCCTATTCAGGACGTTTTAGCGGTCTAGAGTTGCATAACTATGAAACTCTCTGGCCATGAGCGCTAAAACGTTCATACTTATCGTTTTAGCGTTCAACCAATAAATCAAATGCAAGCACTCTGGTCAACCGCGCTAAAACGTCCCTGATGACCATTTTAGCGTGATGCTGAACACGAAGCGTTCACATTTCTCTGACT